TCTCTAAACATATGAAAATCTTAGAAAATAGACGGTGTAGATAATATATTAGTAAAATGTACCGTGTTTTAGACTTACAATTTTTTTATTTTTCATAGTCATACTACATCTACGATTTCGAGATGATTGATCAAAGGTTTTTCAACATTAAAACTATCTTTTCAGATGGATTTTTGAAGGGGCATCCGAAGTTCTACATTATAACGTAGCATCCTTATGTCAACTTTTTCCTTTTTAAAAACTGTGAATTAGTATTATCCCTGTTGCTAATTATGTTGGGTTTTGGGTCCTGGAAAACAGGAGTTCAGAACTTCCTTCAAAGCCATAATAAATTGCTTCAAAGGTGAAGGCCGCGTAGAAATAAATGTAACTTAGCATTAAGAGCTTAAGAGAGGGCACGATCCATATTTATTTCAACTCTATTGCTTGCTCTTGTGCATTTCCCACTCTTAAGGGGTGAATGGATACAATGTTATTAAGCTAATTGTTGATAATTGACTGTTTCAGTTATTTTTTAAAAGGTGCGATTTCTATAAAGTTGCAACCTTAAACAATTCAATTAGATGTAATTTTGGTACAAAACATTCTTAGGATTATTTGAAAATCTATTTTCATATCTTATTATAAAATTTTAAACTCTAAAAATAGTTAAAATCAAGTAGATGTACAAACATATGAAAATCTTGAAAATGGACCATCTAGATAATGTGTTGCAAGATGCACTATTTATGGAATTTAATATCTTTTTTCTTTCTTTTTTTTTTCTTTTTTCATATTCATACATCTCCATGTCGGGAAGATCAATCAAAGAGTTTTTCAACATTAAAATAATTTTTTTTCAATGGATTTTTTATTTGCATCTTTAATTCTTCATTTTAAAGTTGCAACCTTACATTAACTTTTTTCTTTTTATAATAAATTATATGTCGTTGCATGTATATATTATAAGCAATTTGAGGTAAATTTTTTCGCAGTTCCATATATAAGTTTTTCTTATGGAAAAGTTATTAATATTTTTAATCAAAGTATTTTGCAGAACATCACACGTTTTTAGCTAGAATATTATAATAATAAAAAAAGAAAATTTTTGAATAATTAAGGGAAAAGATGATGTGCGCCCAGGTACGTACTGCTACAGTAAACACCCAGGGCCCAGATCGAATCTGAATCGATCTGACGATCACAGATGTCTGATAGTATTTGATTTTTAATTTTTTTTTCTACAAATCCAAATCATTTAAAAAATAAGCGAATCTACAAAAAAAATATATATATATATAAAATTTACATGAAATAAATTGACCAAAATACCCCTGAAAAGTTTCAGGGGGTATTTTGATCAATTTTATTTTGTGAATTATTTTTTTTATATTTTTATTAGGTGCACCTTGATGATAAGAATACACACCTAAAATTTCAAGTGATTTGAATTTGTAAAAAAAAAAAATTAAAATTCAAATACTTTTGGACATCTGTGAGTGTCAGATCAACCACAGAATGGCCCAGATTCAATATGGTGAATCTGAGTCATTCGCGTATGGACGTAGAGCAGTGACTTCCATTAAATAATATTATGTATAACATAAAGTACATTACCAAATGACTAATAAAATAATATTATCTTATGTTAATTTTAGATAAGATATATTATTCCAAATTAAATTAATTGCCACCCAAACATGCCTTATTAAAAATATTACATTTGATGTCACAAGAGATTCACCATTCGAAGAGTGAAATAAATGCATCAATAAAAATGTCTCCATCTCTAAGAAGATAAATAAATGCATCATTGAAAATGTGTCTAAGAAAAACTCCATCCTTAACCAAAAAAAAAAAAAAAGCAACTTGCCAAACTTAAATGATGGCAAATAAGGTAAGTTGAGCCCAACTTAGACAAGAGACACAAAAAACCTCTACTTTCTTCAAAGTACTAAACACCCCCAACTTGATAACTTGGATCAAACTTTTGAACCAAAACACTTTTTGGCGCTTCCACCTTGAACAAGCTGTGGCTCAATGGTTCTAAAGAAAACAAAATAAGATCCTTGTCAAACTTTGAAAAATCTCACAAATGAAAAAATAATATTCATATTTCTCTTGTTGGTTTACTAACAGATGGTTCGGCTTTTGCTCGACCCAAATGATGATTTGCGCCGTTTTCAAAAAGCACACGGTTTTGGTAAGTCAACCGACTCACGTATTATGTGCGGTCCCTTGTCAATCTGATGTCCCCTAAAAGTTAAAATGGACAATGAAAAAAACAATTCAAATAAATAACATTTATGTTTTTTGGAAAAAAATAATGATTTAGATCATTGCTATGGTTGACATTATTGAACCCTAAAATATTTAGATTGATAATACATCATATAATTTCTAAAGAGACCGCACAAAAATAGTGCGAGTCAGCCAACTCATCAAACACTTTTTCTTTGAAAAAATCTCACCCGTATGGTTCCCAATTGAATAATCTCTCTCTCTCTCTCCATTTCCTCTACCTCCCGTTGGATTACACAAAGGTCACTCTCTACCTGTCTCTCAGATAAAGAACTAGAAAGCTAGAAAAAACTCAAGGGAAAATTTATCAAATTACATCTAAAATATCAACGGCCAACATTTGAACCATTTCGAACCATTCCAACTCATGATCATGTGGATTTTGATGGGGTTTTTAAAATTAAACCAAAGGAAATGGATAAAATATTGATAGTTTACATCTTATGCGCATTCTGATAAATTCCCCTGAAAGAAACAAGAAAAGGAAAAATTAAGTTGCCCTACCTCCTTATGAGTTTCAGCTGGCAATCTTTTCTTGTTCATGTTAGATATATGGTTTTGTTATCCTTCTATTTTGGTTGTTTTCTATTCATTATCTTGTGTTTCAATACGAGACCCAGGACCAAACCTAACCTAATGAAGTATCTTATCAGGAACTTAAATTAAATAAAACTTAAATTAAATAAAAATAAGATATAGGGTGAAGTGATACAAAAGAAGCTCTATTTGGTTTTGTTCCTACTCTCTCCCCACTTTTCAGGTCATAGACTAAACTATAAAACTCACGTAAGCATGAATACAAAAAGGATGTAGTCATGAATATAAAAAGGAAGAAGTTTCTGTAAGGACTAAGCTTTATGAAAACAAAATAAAGCCTCACCTTGAATCCTCGTGTGGAAAGCACTTTCAACAACGAAAATCTCCACGATAGTTCTAAAATCAATTTCCAACAACGATAATAAAATTTGAACTAAAAAAATGTACAGATCCGCTTGCAGATCAGTGAACGCTTATTTTTAAGGCTATATAGACGGTTTAAATAATTTGTTACAATATACACTATTTTTAGAGTCCAATAAAGCATATCCATTCAAAAAATTTAGCAAGAATGAAAAACCTCAACACTGGGATAATTGAGAGAGATTCTGTGTGATGCCATGAGGAAAATAAACTTACATTGGATACTACAAAATTGAGAAAAATTAGAAAATAGAACTTGCAAACACAATCAATACCAACAATATCAAAACTGAGTGGTGGGCAAGTGAAATTCCAGCTTAAAAAGCTTTCGCATATGAAGCTTTCTTCCTTCCTGATCTTTTGATTCAGCTTCGGCACGCATGTGGAACGGTATACATCCACCATAACTCCAGGCACACGGGTGCATTGCCTTAAAAAATGTATGATACCATCCATGCACATGTATGCATATCTCTCACATGCATACATCAAACATTCCATCACAGGCGCCTCCATGGAAATCACACCTGAAACCTGAAATACGCTCCAATGAGTACTTGTCTGGATTTTTATTTTTTATTGTTTTTGTGTGGAAATGCAAAGCATTCTTCTGCAGTTATGGCAATTATCGTATCTAGAGATCCAGTAGGGCAATTGCATACTATCTATATTCTATTTTCTTCAAATATTTAGAAGCTATTTACTGGAAAACTATGTATAAGAAATAAAGGCTATAATCCAATGTTTGAATCCTGACCAACAAAATAGTAATAGTAGTAGTGGTAGTCGCAGTAGTAGTAAGAACAACAGTAAAAAAAACAACAACAATAACAATAATAAAAACAAAAACAATAACAATAACAACAAAACACTACTACAACAACATCAGCAAGAATTTAACAGTAATAATAATAAGAGCAATAATAATAATAATAACAATAAGACACCCTTAATTACACCAATATCCTAGTTCTTTATTTTTTAAGGTTGGCAGTCAAATCCTTAACTTCCTACAAACAATCCCCTCTTCACAATTTCATCATTTATAAGGTATGTTTTCTTGCCCCCAAGTCATAGTCAATATCAGTGTACAGAAAAAGGACTCAGCAAGGTACTCAGACCTTGGCCAAGTCGAGTAACTCAGGTGAATCCAGCAACTCGCCCGAGTCTAGCCCGAGTTAAACAATAAATAGAAATAAATACAAATGTGTGTGTGTGTGAGAGAGAGAGAGAGAGAGAGATATAACCTCCCTCTTTCTCATATCTAATATCAAATGGCATATTGGTTAGTTAGGCCGCCCTTGGTATGCCTCTTTATGAGAGGTCTTGGGCTTAATTCTGGCGAATACTTTTTTTCACTCCGGTTTTTTAACTCCTTGAAAAAAAGACAGTCTAAAAAATGGGGACAATGTTTCTTGGGGGGGCTCGAACCCCCACCACAATGGTAAATAAAAGAGTGTACTACACCAAAGCCATTTGATCATTTTTTACTTATAATCAACATGTTAATATATATAAATAATATAAGAATGGGAGTACACAGCACATTCGGCGAAACTTGCCTCGCCCATAGGACGAGGCCGAGCAACTCGACCGAGCGGAGTAACTCAGCCAAGCCGTCCTGGTACATTGGTCAATATAATCAGCCTCATCTCATTTTTCTTTAACTTTTCTCTAACTTGGCTTTTCCAATGCGAAAGGACCAAGTTTCCAATGCTACAGGACCAAGTTTCTAATTAACAACAAATAATCCATTTAAAAAGGAAAGGCTTAAATATCCCAACAAGGACAAATCTTACCAGACCACGAACATTAGACTTTGTCCAAGCATCGCCTCTTCTTCTTCTTCTTCTCTCTCCTATATTCCTCATACAAATGTATGGATGACATAGTGAGATTCAGTTCCCTTCTCAGTCTCTCATTCTCCAAGATATTTCGAAACACTTTAAAGTGATCAGAAAATCTCTTTCGAACCAAGTCCTCATGTTCCTGATCATTCCAATGTGGGTCAGCAGAAGATTCCAGAACCTTCTTCCTCTGTTGGGAATCCATAACCTTCTTCCTCTTGCAAATGGAAGCAGGGGGTTTAATCGATAATTTGAAGGATTCCCGGGCAATTGAGTACTCTGAGAAGGCTTGACCAGGGGAAATAATGGAGAGAAACATCTGGTTATGGCCAGTGCCCATGTTTGCGATGCTTGAAGCCATGGCTGAGACCGCGGGATGATAATGCTTGCTTAGTAAGCTTAGTTCCCATAACACTGATGAAAGTGCTCCACTAAGGTTTGGATCTGTGGCATCAGGATGATATTTCTGTGCAAAGAACAATAGATGGATCAAGGTGGTCGTTTGCAATTTTATTGAAGAAAACGTATCTACAACTTTAGATGTAAATACATGAATAAATTCATAAATCCATAGAACTAAATATATGAAAATATTTTAAAATGTACTTATTTTTTTCTACCTTGTTTGGTTTTTACTTTTTTAACATTTTTTTCCTTTTCTAATTTTTCTCAAAATTCTTAGGACTTCATATGAAAAACCTAAAATTTTGGAAATCTGCAAAAAATTGCCACCCCTTTATAGAGATCTGTACCTCCACCGCTACAAGTAGATCAGGAAAGGACAATACTGGAAAGGTATTTCTCTTTCCTAATTGTGCTTGTGGTCCACAATTTCTAGATGAACTCTTGTTTTCTTAAAATTCTTACATAAGGTTTAGAGTTTAATTCAAACAGAACTCCTTTCATTTGTAACTTGGAGGAATGGTTGATACCTAAAGCCCTAATTACAGCTGGCAGAAGTGCGTATGACCACGGCACGTTTTGAGGCATGTTATGATACTAGAAAGATATGTAATTATCACCTTCCCAGTCATGCTGATGGTCTACAATTTCTAAGTAGAACCTTGTGCTCTTAAATTCGTACATAAGGTTTAGAGGTTAATTCAAACACTGTTCCTTTCATTCCTATTTTGGAGGAATAGGTGATGACTAAAGCCGTAACTACAGGTAGTCTAAGCACATATGATCTGGTTGCGGCACTTTTTGAGAGGTGTGCTCTACAACATTACACTAAAAGAAAAGAATCTTCGTTAATTGCTGCAAGGAGATTCCTAACTTTGACATGACACAAAAATAGGAGAATGTTTAGATTTCTTTCAGGGCTTTGATGTTAAACTAGAATAGGCAAACCTTTTTAATTACTATGATAAGACCGATTTCAGGGCTTCGACAGTACACACTAGTTCCAGTTTGGACTTGCATTTGTCAGAATTGAGGACTTAAATGCAAGTTGCAGAAAAACAGGTTTCTAATATTTGCACCTGTTAACAGTGAGTTTTGTTTTCTCTGCAGAAATCTGTGGTAATGGCTGATAACAACCAGTGCGTCTATGTCCGCTCTGTCATTGTCTAATATGTGGATCCAAACATGATCTAGAAACACACAATCATTAAAGTGTTTTCAGGGCATTGACATCACCATAGCTCCAGGTGAATGTCCATCTCAAAACCCGTGGTTCATCACTTCATCTCCATGGCCTTTAGTTGAGAATGTTCAGACAATGCGCTACTTGTAGGATAATGGCTCCCAAACACAAGATGACAATGCTACGCTTTCTTTTTCTTTTTCTTTTTTCCTTTTTGCCTTTTTTTTTGTTTTTTATTCGTGACAAGAATTCTAGGCTTTCCCAAAAGAAAAAAACACCAATTTAAGAAATATATGGAAGAAAGTGAACCTACAGCAACTGAACAAGAGAGAGAGCCACCGCCTCCATCATTTTCAAGAAGATTTCTGCACTTGCTGTTCTTCTGGAGTAGGTGCTTCATGGTAACCAAAGCTGCAAAAACACATGCCTGTATATTCATTTGATAGCCACAACAAGAAGTGAAACAACAAAACCCCATATATCATGAAATGTATATTGTATTAGCATAAATTTCAACTTTAACCCAAATTCACCATAAACAGTCTTAGATGCACATAAGTTTGTTGCATGTTATTCATTAGAAATGAGAAGTTCAATATTTATTAAGGTCGCCCCAACATGATGTATGTTTTACTCTTGTTTGGAAAAAAAAAAGAAAAATAGCATTATCCACAAAAGAAGGAAATATCATAGTTTGGTGATAACAAGATAGATGTGAACATTCTCAAAAAAAAAGAAAAAAAAGATAGATGTGATGTTTCATAACATGATGCTTTATAACAAGATAGATGTGAGGTTTCTCTTTAAGTAAATGTGATATATCAGTATGTGACAAAATAGATGTGATATACAGAAATGAAATCCTAAGGAATAGCAATAACACCCAAGCAACATGATTCATGATTAAAGGAAAATCCAAATGGTACTGGAAGGATCCATGGATTTGAAGAAAGTATAATACAATGAAACCAATAGAAAAGAAAGCACCTGCCATAGCCTCTGCAGGTCCATAGCACAAAGAAAATGTTGCCAAGCGTTTAATAAATGCGGCAGCCCGCTGCATATCATGTTGTCGCCCCTCACATAACATGGTTTTCAGAGCTTCAGCCAATAACTCTCCTTCGTCTTCTCTGTAAATATGTTCAAAATGGGGCCAATGATTGGAATAAGTACATAGGGCATCCCTGATCAGTGAGCCAAGAAGTGGCAGCAGAAGACATTGAAGAGAGAGAGAGAGAGAGATAGACAGAGATAGAGGGAGGAAGGGAGAGGGCATGTATCATCATCATATAAAACTCAGCAATCAAGATGAAGGCAAAAGGATCAGACCTGTTGGGTTTGCACTCAAGCAATAGATTGTAGAGGTGGATAAAGAACTCCTGGAGATCTATAATTAAGGAATCAAGGTTGTTCCTCATCACTTTGAATGCCACTATGCAGCACTGGATGCGTTCAGAAACAGTTCTACAGTTTTCTGTAGAGAGGTTCCTTCCACTGGCAAGTCTTTTGAGTTTATTCAGAAGATCACCCATAAAATCCACACTGATTAAATGAGAGAATTTTCCCAATCCCTTCAAGCATGGAATCAATAACGGGCGTAATTTAGTTCCACTGCCTATCTTAATCCTGCAATAGTTAAAACTGTCAAACCACACTCTCTCTCTCCATAATGAAGATTAATCCTTAACTTATTAATACTAATTTTTTGAAATAAATATCCAAAATCTGACATTCCTGATTTGGATTGGATGTAAAATCTCAGTAGCCTATTTTTCCTCTTGTAAAAACTCCAATGATAGTATTGAAATTAACATATTTAAGTGGGTTCATTTAAGTATAAAGTCTGACACATGCCCCTCAGAATGCCCTCTTCATAATATAGTGTGTATGTGTTTGTGTGGGTGTGTGGGGATGTGTCAAGAAGACACTAAAACGTACCCAGCTGTTGACTCTATGCTCTGCTTCAGAATTCGGAAATATGTCTCAAATACAGCAGCAAGTGTTTGCGTTTGCAATTTTTTGCGTTCAGATGCATCAGGGGCAAATGAGACTGCCTTAAAATCGGTGTTAACCTTCACAAAACAGAACACCTCAGAGGTGAATAACTCCAGAAGAAAAGGTAGTCGAAAACTGCCTTAAAATAAGTATTAACCTTCTCCAAAGAGAATGCCTTAGAAGTTAACAACTCAAGAAGAAAAGGTTAGTTGTGCATAGGCTGCTCATCATATTATGTCAGTAACTATATAAGCAATATTTTATTTCATTTTGCATATTGATAGATGGGTTAGAAAGGAAGAACCTCCACTCTTGTTTTTGCAGCCAATTCCTTCTTGCTCAACTTCTTGTCATCTTTTGCCAATTGATTTGGAACAGCAGGCGTGTGTTTCCCCTTTTTCTTAGGTTTAACTTTTTCCTTGCCATTTTCAGATGTAGACTTCGCAAGATCCTCATCAAATGACAAGGCCAAGAAAACCTGACAAGTGGGTCAATAACAGCACCCAGTAAATAGTCTCCCTTGGGAGAACAAACAAAAAATAAACGAACAAGAACTATTTAAAAGATGAAGAACAAATGTTATAACCATATGACATGGCACCCAAAGTGCATCAGTTGTAAAATCAAAACCTTATGACATTCACTTGCACAATGGGCACACAAAAGAATATGGCAGTCTGAAACTGAGAATGACGAGCCAGGCATAAAAACAAGAAGATAATAGTTATGCACAACAACCTCAATACAATCAGGATGAAGCTGGCAATTATGAATCTTCACGTGATCTGCAATCAACTGTACAGCCTCCACTGTTGCTTCACCACCATGTTTTCCCTCATTCATAAAAAGTGACTTTATAGCTGAACAAGAAAGTTTCCTATCATAATAAAAGCCAGACTATTAGACAAATCCAAATAATTCAATACAAGCAACTAGTACAAAGGATAGGAACTCATAAAAATGCAGTTCATCCTCTCGTACAGAATGTACAATAAGCGACATTGTCTACAATAAGCAACATTGTCCAGAACCAGCTCCTCCAAACAACATAAAATCTTCACATACAATGAAAAATCTTCACATACAATGATTTCAGGTATCAAAAACTTATTATGCAAACTAACAATGGATACTAATCTTGCTTAATCAGCGTCGCTAGGAAACACGTTAAGTACACATTTGAGAATGACATGATCTAATGTGCACAATCCACATCTTAAAATGACACTGTGATATAAAAATACAGAAGCCTCAAACATGAACAGGAGACAGAAAAAATATAAAACATATCCATAAGAGATTGGTGGGGGCAAAAAAAAAATGAAACAAAAAGATAAGGGCATGAGGAATCAAAGAACTATCTCAATAAACAAGTATATTTAGTAGCATTCTGGGTCAAATGAGTGCTTACAAATTACAATTCCTAATGGAAATTCAGGAAATAGAGAAGGCCCTTAACCCATGACCACGAGGGAAGAGATCCAAGATACTAAGTCATAGACAAGGTTCGACTCCACCAAGTTGAAAAACCATAGCAAGGGAATTCTTTAGAAATACACCTTGACAACAAGGCACATGTTTCACATTTCACAACACTGCAGAAGATCCTGAAGAGTATACTACAATAAGATGAAGCTGTTATTATCAATCCCAAGAAAAGCATTTGAAGACACAGAGAAATGCAACAGGGAAGACCAAAAGAGTGCAAAGAGGAATAGGAAAATTTCATGCATCAAAGGAAATATGACCATGGTAGCAGGTGGAGACAAGCTGCCATGACAGAACTGAACAATGACCAAAACCCTATGGAAGTGACTCGCGGATGGAAGCTGCAAATGGTAGAATAAGGCGATGGAGGTAGGAGATCTAATAAACTGATGACTACATAAGGTGAAGACATACACAGCAATTATCACCCATAGCAAAGGTGGTTGCTGGGTGGGAAAACCCAGAAAAAATCTATGCTACAAGGGCACAAACACACTACCAGAATCAAAGAGGGTTTATCAAAAAAAGGAGGGTTGGACTTCAATTACCAGGAAAACCATGCTAACTGTATCTGATTCTATAGACTAGATGACCTTGATTAACACCAAAAATCCTAACAAAGTTTGGAGATATAACCATGATCAGGTTTTTTTTTTTTATGTTGTTACCTGTTGTATTGAAGAAAAGTAAAGGATCTACAAGAGTTCATCGAGAGAACCCATAGACTGGGCCTCTCGGCCAAAAAATAAGCTACCCCACAAAGAGGAGCCCTGTACAAAAAATGGGTAGGGGCTTATAACTGTCGCCCAATACAGAGATCATACAAAAACATAGGAAACCCAAGTAACAAGAAGGTCCAAAAAAGTCCATAGGCAGAAGGGCAAAAAGTCTAGCGAGACCCAAAAAACTTTCTCAAGCACCCATGGAACTTGACAATGCGCCATCTTTAGCAAGTTGGTCCGCCAGGGCGTTTGATTCCCTCCAGGTATGACGGTTGTATCCCTGCAAGAGTGCATAATTTCATCATAAATCGAAGAGAGGTACCACGGAGAAGGAGTTAAGCCTGCGGCCCACGAAATAATGTTTTGGGCATCTCCTTCAACTATTAGTGGTTGATCCCACAGGGGGTTGATCATCTTGAGACCAGTGAGAAGTGCCATGTACTCAGCTGGCTCGGAGTCCACATGGCCAATAAATTTGGAGAAGGAGGCCAAGATATTACCGTGATAGTCTCGGAAGACCCCACCCACTCCTACCGGCCTGGGGTTTCCAAGGGAACACCTGTCAAAATTTAGTTTTATGAGGGCTGCAGGAGGAGGAGACCAGAAACTAGATCTAGATATCTGACGGTAGTGGGCGTGGAGAACATCTTCCCAATGGTGTAGGAAGGACAAAGCCGGGATGCCTTTGACGGCCTTGTGGTAAGAAGCCAAGAAAATGACCAGGGCTGTGATTTTAGGAAATAGAGCCGAAGCTTCGCATTTGGATCCTCGGAAAAATCTCGAGTTTCTTTCAGTCCATATAACCCATATTGTTGCAGGGATGGAAGCCTTCCACAATAGCATTCCCGCTTTGGGCCATGGAGTGATTTAAGAGGGCCGATAGGGAAGCAGGAGTTACCCAGAGCCGGCCAAAAAGACTCAGGAGACGGCTCCACGGTTGAAAGCTATCAGGTTGATTTTGATATGTCAGAAACTTACTATGAACAGAGACAAAGCTCAAAGAAAATGAGAGCAATGAAAAGATTTATTCAAAGCACCCACGAAACACTTGAAGAGTCATTGTATGCAATTGAACACCCTTTCTGAATGTATGAAACAAAACCACAAAACAAGCATCGAGCAGACAATAAAACCAAATCAGCCACAGAAGCCTTCCAAAGATCTGATATCTATTAATAATAACAACAAAAAATAAAAGGAGATGATCAATCAAGCCTGAACTTCAATTGAAACACCAAAAAACAACCAAACAAAATCTTATACAACATCAAAGAGAAATAAGAATTAACAAAAATCACCAATCAAACTTCAGTGAACAGCAAGCATGCATACAATTCATCATCATCATCATAGCTTTTTCCCAACTAATCGGGGTCGGTTATACGAATCTTGCTCCGCTATTCTGCTCTATTAAGGCTACACCCTTAGTCAGGCCATAAGTCCCCATATCTTTTCTCACTACTTCCAACTTGGTCCTTTCAAGCCTACCCCTTGCCTTTTTTTAGCCTTCCACTTGAACTAACTCGCACCTCCTAACAAATGTTGTACTGGGTCTACACAATACATGGCTAACCCACTTAAGTCTACTTTCTCTTGTCTTATCGTCTATTGGTGCCACACCTAAATTCTCCCAAATGTATTCATTTGGAATTCTATCCACTTTTGTCTTGCCACCCATCTATCTTAACATCCTCATCTCAACTACACTCAGCCTATGGGTATGTTGTTTCTTGACCACCCAACATTCCACTCCATAAAGCAAAGTTGGTCGCACAACTATCTTATAGAACTTTCCCTTCAACGTCATTGGTATGCAACGATCGCATAAAACTCCAGTTGCACATGTCCACTTCACCCACCCAGCTCTAATTCTATGTGCGGCATCTTGCTCAATCTCTCAATTTTTCTAAATTATCGACCCAAGATATCAAAAGTACGCTCCTTTGTTATTTTTGGCCATCAATCTTAACTACTTCCAAGTCTCTACTCCTATTATCACTAAACTTGCATTCTATATACTCTGTCTTAGTCCGGCTAATTTTAGAACATTTAGATTATAGGGCATCCTTCCAAAATTCTAACTTTGTGTTGACGTCATTTCGTTCATTGATCAAAACTATGTCGTTGGTCAACAACATGCACCACGGTACCTGATCTTGTAGGTGGCCTAGTTAAGTCGTCCATAACTAAGACAGAGAGGTATGGGCTCAATGTTGACCCCTGATGTAGACCTATTGTCACTGAAAACTCACTCGTCTCTCTACTAGTTATTCGTATACTAGTTAGCACTCCCTCATGCATATCTCTTACCAAGTGGATGTACTGTTTGAAGACTCCTTTCTTTTTCAATACCCACCAAATCAACTCTCGAGATACTCTATCATAAGCTTTCTCTAGATTAACAATGATCATGTGGAGGTTTTTTCCTTTCGCTCTAACAAGAACGCATACAATTGATTAAAAAAAACTTTCTATAGTTGTATAGCTAAAAGATACTTATTTTTTCTATAGTTTTTTTTTTTTAAAGCTGTTAACAGTTCTCCTAAATTTAAGCTTGACCAGACAATCCCTAGACAATTGGCATGTACTCTTGTATGACGGAGGGCACGAATAGGTTTAACTTATTTTTTCTATAGTTCTATGAGAAAAGTTGCATGATAAGAGTTGGGATAAGGCTCGGATGATGATGATGATGATGATGATGATGATGATGATGTATGAGAAGAGTTGCATAATGAAATGTCAAAACAAATCACCAATATTACAACAATATCAACACTAACCTGCTAGAAGTAATGGTATATCTCTTACAAACATTACATAAAGAACACCATGAGAACATTTCTCCCCACTGAAGAACAAGTCAATCCTTAGTTTAGCTTGATGCATCCCAAAGATGTTCACAAAGCTCTAAAGTTCCGATCCGAAAGTAATAAAGATCCTTTAACTATATGCATGAAAGTTTGTTGTACATAAAAGACGCAATTAATGTGGTATGAGGGGAAAACCTTATGACATCATCAGAGGAGCTAGTGTTTTTAACAGTCTCTGCAAGTAAATTCTCGCGATAATTGAAGTGGGGAACAGCCTCTAGCAAATTACATATACAACGAACAGCCACTTGTTGAAAGAAAGGTTGTTTTCCAAAGGCCACAAGCTTCTGCAGATATGCCTATTGAATTAAAAAAAAAAAGAGAGTTTAGTCACTATGACAAAAATAGCAAATAAAACAAAAATCCTCAAAGAACAAGACTTTTGAGTAAAGAGACATGAATGAGGCCCAATCAAGCGAAGAGCCATATAATCCACGTTATGATCGTTAAAGGCATATAATGCCAAAAATGAGTTTCAGAACTATTCAAACAAACTAACACTCAAACAGAATAAAAAGTAAATCACTGCCACTTGTTCACCATAACAAACTTTGCATATCTGCTCATTAAAGGGATATTTCAGCCAGGCCCAAGTTACGAACATCGAATTGAGTGAATGAAATAATAGATAGGGATGTGTATATCGGTCCCTTTCTACATGTATCTTTTGTGCAAATTGTGGAGATATCAAGGCACATACTTGGGATGGTTATGTACTCAAGACACATGCAAGAGTAATCAGGTAAATCTGCAATCACTAAATGTCCTATATGTGTTGCAGTTTCATCTTTTTCTTGGTGAACTTCTTTTCATCAAATATCAAACAAATTGAAAAGGAATCCTCTTCAAAACAAAGTTGGGCCATGGCACAGACAGTTGCGCATGCCCCACTTGTGTATGTGTTCTAATGTTAAAGCAAGATGAAGGCTAGGATTACTCTGCCCACCCATCACCACTTACTCCTTCCTTGTGGGCACCCACATCTTACTACTGGAGTAGTTCATTTTTGAAAACTAGAAATACTTTTACAAAATCACAGAACTAGTTGCAAAGAAATGAAGCCGTGTTGAGGGAAGTTGGAAATAACTAAGAAATGTATGCAAAGAAGGACATGACTTCACATAAGAAATTAAATGGATTAAGGAGCAAGAGTGCTTCTCAAGTACAAGGTCTCTACTGCAAAGATTTGGCTTTTATGAAAAAGGGCAAAAAAAAAAGAAAAAAAAAGGGCCTTAAAAACTTGAGGAATGAATTTTTTATCCTCTGAATAAATTAAAAAATGACAAGGAATTTGAGTAGAAAGTATTTTATACAAGAATAAATCCCACTGCCAGAAGCAACAGGGTGTGCCAAGGCAAAGTTGGAAAGTTCTACTTTACATGGGTCAAGGTGAAATAACTTGACTCTAGAGCGCTACAACTCTTGCGATGGACACGTTTCTGCATCTATAGGAGACAACTTTTAGTGCCTGGTGATAGAGAGCATTACATACAAGGTGCACTGGTGGACAATAATGGGCGAATGCCTTCCACAGTGACTCTCTGTGACATCCACAAAATAGGTTAATGCATTCATGAGGATATCATTTGTAGACAAGAAGTTGCTGATCAGCTTGCAAACCTAAGAGTGATAAGAGTCAATCAATTCATCACTTTCCATTCTGTATGATTTTTCTTTTTTTTTTTCATTTTATTGAATGTCATTTATTTGGTTATCAATAGAAGGAGAAGAAAAGATTATTTCTTTGTATTTGCAGGTAACTTGGGACTTGCCCAAGTCGGACTGGGTATTTCTAAACAAATACAACATTATTTTCTTTATAAATCTCCAACTCCGTGAGTTGGCAAGGTTTTACCTCCAAACTCACAAGGCCCCCAATCCAAGCCAACTTGGGGGAGTAGCAAGCCCGGTCGGCCATTTTCTGAACACTGATCAGAAATACTTCACGTTCAAATACCATTTCCAAGAGCACCTGCATACCTTATATGAGTTCAGAAGCATAGACTCATAGTCACGCATCTTTTTTACTTCCTTTGAAACCTTCATCTGCAGTTCCTTGTCAGTAGGAAGCCGAATCCGGTAGCTGTTTCCATTCACAACAAACAAAATTGTGAAGCCAAAGTCAGTAGCTTCCAGAGAAAGGATATTGTCTCTTCACACAAGAAAACAATTCTCATAATCCAGCATTCCTTATTCAAAAAGACTAAAACACCATTCCTCATTCCAAAAGAATAAAGCAGACATGAAGAAAAAAATACCCAGGGATTATGTCTTTGAAAAGAGCCAACAGTGACAGCAGGCCCAGTTTTGCTACATTGTGATCTGTATCATTGCATGTCTGTACGAGCTCTTTCAAGGATGCAATATTATTCTCTGGATCAGCAAGAAGCCCCATTCCGATCTCTGCAATTTTACCCTTCTTTTGAAGAAAGAGTTCTTCTGCTGAAAGTTCTTGTTTCACCTTTTCCTATTTTAGTGAAGTTTATGGCCAACAAAAAGCATGATAAAAATATATAGAATAAGATAATTGAGCATGATGAACAGATGATCACTATGCGGTTATAAATAATAGAAAACCAAAAAAAAGAAGAGGGGGGAGGGGAAGAGAGAGAGAGCGAGAGCGAGAGATAATTGCATGTAAGGAACAGCGGATAATTATAGGATTCACCACCCTTCCTATTCAATCATACTTAGTAATTGCAGACATGTAGATTGTAGAGACTCCATCTTGGCTAATGGATTTCCAAGTGCATAATCCGTAAACCTTAGGTCCTAAACCCCAGTATTGCCAACCCAAAATACAGAAATCACCCATCATGCCAGAATAGTGTGTAACAGAGAACGGAGGTATGATAAACATAATGTTGAAGTGCAGACTAATAATCAGAATCCAACATGTACATCAGTATCAAATCATCTTAAGTGAAAAAGAATGCCTTATTTTTTTAAGAACGCATTTGGAAAAATGCCTGACATGAAATCTAACTAGGAGCAGGTACTAATACTCGATCAATACCACAAATACAAAAAAATGAATGCTTGCTCAGTGGTAGGCTAATAAGTTATGTGGTGATTTCGTAAAGTCAGTTCAAGTCAAGAGACTAGGAGCTACCTAACCTGTACTCGGACTTTTTATCTGACCAATCCAATACAGAGGGCAACAGTTCAAGGTACTACCAAGCCAACCCAGTCAAAGTCAACATTTATTAATGATCTAGGAGGCCTATTTATATTTATCAGCTCATGGTAGCTCTTGATGTTATGGAGCTTGATCACTTTCGCAATTTTTTATTGATGAAGAATGACATTTTTCTGCAGAATCGTGATAAGAATTCAAAACTACAAAATGATGTGAGACATATACCAGGACTTCAGATTTCAGGTCCCTCTGTACTTCATCTATCTTATTTTCCTCCTCCACTTGTTTCTTTGCTATCTTCTTAATTTTCTTCAGCTTCTCCCTTCGTTCAGCTTTTGTTGGCTTGATTTTGTTCTCATCATTATCAACATTTTGATCATTTGTTTTGGTGTTGTCTTCTTGCAGACCAGTTTGAGGCTTAGTGACATCCACAGAGGCTGCATCAGAAAGTGAGCCCATTAGTTAAGCAATTTGTAATGCAGCCGCCATCAGTAAAGTTTCTTTGGGGAAATTTATGAAAAAGCACCCAAATAGATAAAACCAAAAGATATTCTACTCCAGCAGGAGTAGAATGCGTGCTGGAGTAGAATGCGCATATACTCCCTCGGGTAAAACCTCACCTAGAATTAATTTTATGAATCCAAATGATGTAACCTCTTCAACCCATATATTAATGTCAATAAAAAAAATTTCTGATTGTATCCTCTATGCACTTGAAAAAATAATGTCTCAAGATTGAATAGAGACCATCCAATTTTAGGGGTAAGATCTAAATATTAGAAAACTCAAAATTCAATTTTTTTTTTTCTGAGAACAATATCTAGTAATTATTAAGTGGTTTCCAAAATTTCAGATTGAAAAAAATCCTTCTAAGTGGGTCTTTCGACCGAAGGAGTAGAAATAAACCATCTTCCTGAGGAAGTATAGTGTACATGGCCATAGATAAATTTCAACCAAATCACACTAATCATGAGTTGGATCTAGGATGCGCACTTTAACTTGCTCCTCCTACCAAAATTAGGGACTTGTTCAGCTCTTTGAGAGCTTCATGTTTTCACAATATTGGAAAATTAGAATACTCGTGCAGGACCAAAATGTACATTTTCTCCCTTGTGTAAAACCCTTACTAGGAGCATTTTTCAGATCTCAAACTTTGGGGATGTGACATACCCAATGCGAAAAGAAAAAAAAATCTACAAAGTGAGTGTTGAAATTCCAAAGTGCGTGTTCAAGATTTAAATAGTCTATGTTCAATCCGAGGGCAAGACTTTTACATAAAGTCCCAAAGTGCATGTTGAAGTTTTTCTTCCTTTTCTAAGTTGGTCGCTTAGTTGACTAGGTCAAGTCCACAAAATTTGGGACCCTAGAACTTCTAGCTAGGGTTTTGCCTGAGGGAGCAAATGCATATTTTGCTCTTGAAGAAGCATACTGATCTTTTATACCAGTAAATCCATAGGTCCATGCCAAATGATAAGTGGCTTTCTTAAATACCACATAACTATGAAAGGAGGGGCAAATTGGAAGTGCCCCGCCTAGAAAATTTGATTCATAATCAATGTCCCAATGGAATTTAAACTTTTAAAATTAAATTATAATTAATAAGAGGTATATAGAGCCTTGAGGGGGTCATTTCACATTATTTTTAGAATTGAAAAAGAAATAAAAGCTTAGGCCTTTGGAACCCTGGCTTGGGGTGAGGAGGAAAACCTAGATTTCTCCAAGTTATTGCTTCTATTTGGCTTGAATTATGTTCTTTTACTGTTTTTCAAATTTCTCCTACATCACATTCCCTTAAGAAACAAAAGGAGAAAATAAATTCTTAAAAGGCAAAAGAAGAAGAAGAAGAAGAAGTGGAGGAAGAAAAAGGATAACTTTAATGGCTTTCCAACTTACATTTATTTTATCCTAATATTTTAAGGTAATATAAAAAAGAATCATTATAGAACCCAACCAAAGCATAAGAGATCTCTCTATCTAACAAATAAGAATTAGCAAACACAAATTCTTTATTCAACAATTAACCATAGTGAAAGATTCAAGGCACGTTTAGATGAACAATTAATTTTATTTTGAATGGATTATCCTATCTATAATTAATATACTCTGAACAGTATTATTATGTTAGTTATTTGGCATGCATCTTGTATTATATATAATTTTAGTCTTGTATTATATATAATTTTAATTAATTATTAAATTTTTTAAGCAATCTCCAGTTAATTTTAGCTCTTTCTGGCTAAAAAATTGGGATTTTCAGCAAACAACTTTGAATAAAGTAGAATTAACTCTTCTAAAGTAAAAACTTATATCTTAAACTGCCTAAATTTGTCTCAGATAACTTTATGATGGACACAAACAAACAATAGATAATTCATTATCAAGGTTAATTTTTTTGAAATAGTGAATTATTAGTGATAACAAGTATATCCAAACAGGCCCTTGCCTTTTTTAAGTATCACGAGAGGAGCAGGTTCGCACTAATTGGTTGCAAGGAGATGGGAAACTATCCCACAAAGAAAACTATTTATCATAGTATGCATTCATGTTTATAATTGAGAAACATAACATGATAAAATAGAGGGAAAAGAAAAGAATAATGGAGGGAACTTCAGCACTTATAAATTACTTTGACTTTACCCAGATTTTTAATAAACAAAAGGCAATAAGTTTTGCAAGTAGATGGAAATGCCTAGGAGAGTTAAACAAGTGCACAGGAATATATGGACAGAGATGGCTTTCTGATGAATCTCTGATCAGAATCCAGGTGAATAAAATAGCTACCAAAGAAAAGTTTCGAGAGAGAGAGAGTAACGGTAATAGTAACAAGTAAATCCAAGACTTAAATCATGAACTCACAGGTTCTATAATACAACTTTCCGTCTAGTGTCTTTACAGGGAGGGCATCCACAGGATCCAATTGAAGAGCATTCCCTTCATTATTCTCAATAAACGCTTTTTTCTTCCGTTTCTCATAAAACGATTCTAGAGCATCTTCCTTTTTCCCATCAGCAAGGCGAACAACATGTCTGTACAATAGTTTAAAATTGCAGTCAAATTTTATATTTTAAACTACAGAGAAAAAGAAAACTTCCATTATTATTTACACATATCACCCACTCCAGGTCAAAATGATACAAATATATTCATGATTCAGAAAACGTCAAAATGATCATTCATAAATTCACAATGATTTTTTACAGGACAACAAAAAACAGAAAGAGGAAATTTTTAGCATACTTTAAAATACATGGGAATGAACTTATCTGAATAGACTACTTCGGAAATTTGAAGAAATGATTGGAAGGTCATAACATGACCAATTTTAATGTACAACTTCTCAATTATTTCAATTATGGCTATAAAACTAGTCTTTGGCACTTCAGCACCGTTGGCCAAATGACTTAAAAACAAAGGCCAGTACTACAATTGTCAATGTTGCATTCTTTCGAAAGAATAATAAGAATGCTGCAAGTGTCGTCACGTACATATAAGTAACTCTTCAAAATGATTGAGAAATATTTCCAACAATTGTTCATAATGTGTGGACTTCCTATGAAATTCCATATAATATAAGGCACATTTAGAGAATTTATCACAAAGAAAGTATCGATAAAAATTTATCTACTCTAGCCATTATCAAGAGCATATGCCACACATACGAGAGAGAGAGATTTTGCATACCTTGGAAGAGTTTGAGGTGCTTTCCCCATTCATGAAAAGATAAGATCATTTTTGTAACATCACAGGAAACTCATGAATGACAATATTATTACAAACTTTACGACAGAATTTCTACTAAAAATTATCTTGAAATCAATATATCATTAAGAACTCTTAATTACTCAGTCACTGATCTCAAAGTTATAATCTTTTTTATGATGCAAGAACAAATAAAGGAAAGGCAATGAATATAAAAAAGAAAGCAACTTACCAAACAACAAGAAAACAAATGTAACAAAAATATGAAAATTCCCAATAAATCATGACGTGATACCAAAATATTGATAGGAAATCCAAGAGTTGCAAGTAAAACACAATAAACGATAATTTACTTACCCCATAATTAGTTGTACTAAGAAATATGATCACATAACATTCAATTTGAACCAGAAAATAATTTCACGAAATGAAAAAAAAACTTAAGGAAATCATAGTACAATGAGAATGTAATACCACAAAAACTATAAAGGCCTCCGAGATTACAAAAAAATCATCCCAGAATATAAATTTACTTACTTTGTAATTGATTTCGTGTCCAATTTACTGAGAAATCCAGCGTAATATCTGTTTTCCTTTACAAACTGTAAATCTTCATCTGAAACCTCGATTTCATCCTCTTCAACCTCAGGAGGTAGCAATGGAAGAGGATTCCCCCTCTTCTTCCCCATCCTTGAAAACAACAAGAATCAAAATAGGAAGCAGAAAAAGGTGGGAAACCAAACAAAAATGGCTGTTAAAATGGCTTGCAGTAATACATAAAACTAGGGCAAGAGACGAAGACAGAGCAGGGCTTGGAGAGCGAGAGAGGGCAAAGTGGGCAAGGCGGCAAGCGGCGAGCAAAGGATGGAGACTGCATAAGGATTTTGTGGGGTTTTGAAGGTGCGCCTTATTTTGATTGGTTATGGCCTCACCCTTACTATACAAACAACACCCCCTTTAACGTACATGGATTCGGGGATGTTTGGACTTTGGATCCAGGTAAAAAGAGGACACCGTCTCAATGAGTACCTCGACTCATATGTAGTAATGCAACCCCCTCAATGACCTTTTTTTTTTTTAATGGATTTTGGCCTTAATTTTTAGTATATAACTTCTAAATATGAATATCATTAATATTTAAAAATAAATAAATTTTAAAACAATTGAATATAATTTTGAAAAAATGTTTGGATAATTGGTTTTCTTTTCTTTTCTTTGTTTGGAGGGACCGCCTCGGGGGTGTGAATGCAAAAATGCGCCCCCCATGCATATAACACTAACCAAGAGGAAGACACGGTTAAATCCATAAACTAGATCTTTATCCAAATGTAGAGTTGTAGTATCTACACTGTATATTTTATTTTAGGGTGTGGTTTGTATATTTTATTTTAGGTGTGGCTTGCATAAGGTTGCAACTTTAAACAATCCAATTAAAGTTTACCTTTAAATTTTATCACAAATGTAATTTTGATATAAAAAATTCTTAAGATGGCTTGAGATTCTATTTTCATCTCTAAATATAAACTTTTAAACCCTAAAATTGGCTCAAATCAAGTAGATTTAAAAACACATATAAATCTTGAAAATGGACGGTCCATATAATTGTTGGGATCAATTGGTGAAAATCAACAAGGATTTATAACATTCACAGCTATTGTGCATTCATATCAATATAAACAAACAATAGAAACTACACAATATCAAAGCAAGAACATGGAATAGAAATTCAGCAACATACAATCCACAGAGCACAAAAATTTAAAGTGGTTCAGTCATAAATTATGACATACATCTACGGGAGCATGGCGGGATACTTTACTTACTAATTTAGGAAGATTATAAGGTGAAAATCGAGCTCAAAATATCAATTTACAGCAGCCTTTTCTCACTCTAAACTGAGCCCAAAATGCATGGCTCTAAGAACTCCTAAAAATATGTTCTCTTTAACACTTTCTCTCACTAAAACATGACACACAGCAAACTCACAATAGAGTTCAAGTCTTTTTTGCTCACTTTCTCTCTCTAAAACAGAGCATATTAAGCCCTTAAGAAAAAACTCAATTGCAGCCCCAATCTCTCTATCTTTTTCGTACTCTTTCTCTCACTAAATAAAAAGGTTTTAATCCTTCTAAAAGAGTAAAGTTCCTATAACACTACAACTATTGGATTAGATGCAATCCAATTGCCTAAAACAAAAAGAGAGAAAAGTTAAATAAAACTCCAACATGAGTGGTTTGTTTTCACACATGTAACAATCTCCCACTTGAAGACAAATCACAAAGTCTATAAAATAATCACCAATGCAACATTCTCCATCCACCCGAGGTTACGTCTCCTTCAACCCGAAAATCTTCTACACATCATATTCTTTTCAGTTGAGACAACCTTTGTCAACATATCAGCAAGGTTCTTCTCAATATGAATCTTGTCCACCTACAAATCTCTATGCTCGAGGGCCAACCAAATAAAATGATATATAACCTCTGTATGCTTTGTTTTGAAGTGATAAGTTGTATTCTTAGCTATATGAATAGCACTTTGGTTATCACAATGCACAACATATTTACCCTATTTCACCCCAAACTAGTCAAGTAACATTCTCAACCAAATCATTTATTTTGTTGCATCGCCACATACTCAGCTTCAGTTGATGACAAGGCAACAATATCCTACAACCTTGACATCCAGCTGACTGCACCACCACCAACATTGAAAATGTATCCAGTGGTAGACTTTCTAGTATCATGGCATCCTGCGTAATCTGCATCTACATTACCAACAACTTCCAATGATGAATTTATAAAACACAAGCATACATTTTGTGTCCCCTTCAAATACCGAAAAATCCACTTAACTGCTTGTCAATATTTCCAACTTGGATTAGACATAAATCTAAAAACAGCTCCCACTGCATGGGCAATGTCAATGCTAGTACAAACCATTGCATACATCAAACTACCCACTATAGAAGTACATGAAACATTCTTCATCTTACTTCTATCTACCTCATTCATTTAAGAATCCATTTTAGACAACTTGAAATGTGTAGCTAATGGTGTAGAAATAGGTTTACAGTCAATCATATTGAAGCGCTTAAAAACTTTATAAATATATTCAGATTAACTTAACCAAAGTTTATCTTGCTTTATGTCCCTATGGATGTGCATGCCCAAAATCTTCTTGGCTGGTTCAAGATCCTTCGTGGCAAAATCCTTAGACATATCAAGCTTTAAACGCTTGATTTCACTCAGATAATTGCTAGCAACAAGTATATCATCAATATAAACCAACAAAATAGTAAAATAATCATATGATGAACCCTTGAAGTACACACAATGATCAAAATCACATCTAAAATAACTTTTACCTATAATAAAACTGTCAAATTTCTTATATTATTGCCTAGATGCTTGTTTCAAACCATACAATCCCTTTTTCAACTTGCAAACCAAGTTATGATTGATTTTATTCTCAAAACCCTCAGGTTGACACAGATAAATTTCTTCATCAAGGTCACCATGCCAAAAGGCAGTTTTAATATCAAGTTGTTCTAGTTCCAAATTCAAGTTCAACCAAAGATAAAACAACTCTAATAGAGCTATGCTTAACAACATGAGCAAAAATTTCATTAAAATCACCACATGGTTTTTAGCGATAACCTTCCACCACAAGTCTAGCCTTATATCGCATAAGACCGTTTGCCTCCCACTTAATAGCATATACCCACTTATTCTTCAATGCTTTCTTCCCATATAGAAGTTCTACCAACTCCCACGTATCATTCTTATGCAAAGCATCAATCTCCTCCTCCATTGTCTTATGTCACCTTTCAGCATTAGGGAAATGAATAACCTCTTGAAAGACTCAGCTTTACCACTATCAGTATGCAAAGCATAATATAAGGAAAGAGAATACCTTTGTGTGGGCTTGTGAGGGAGTGTGGATTTTCTCAATTCTGACTCAGGTATAACTGGTAGTCCTTCTTCATCTTGAATTAATTCAATGTCATCCTCATAACTAGCATCACCTACATCAAAATTTTCTTGAGCTTGAGCTTGACTCTCTTGCACTTGCTACAACAAGCTTTTCTTGTTTTGGCTTTTCTTGCTTCTTTTCAGTAAACATTACATTCTCATTAAAGAGAATATCTCGACTTCTGATAATCCTCTTTGTAATATGATCCCAAATCCTATAACCTCTATCATCACCACCATACCCAAGAAAAACACATCTTTTTGACTTGGCATTCAGCTTGGTTCTATTTTCACTAGGCACTTGAACATAAGCTTCACACCCAAATGTTATCAAGTGTTCATATGACACACTTTTACCTCTCTATAGAATTTCAGGTATATCACCATTCAAGGGTGTACTATGAGATCTATTGATCAAATATATAGTTGTATTAGCAGCTTCAACCCAAAATTGCTTACCAAGACCAGATTGTGATAACATACTTCTTACTCTTGCAATGATAGTCTTATTCATCCTCTCAATGACATCATTTTGTTATGGTGTCCTAAGAACAATCCTTACTCTACGAATGCCATTCTCTTTATAAAAAGTATCAAAAGTATTCGAGCAATATTCACCACCATTATCTGTTTGCAAGCATTTTATAAAACTCACTATTTCTTTTTCAACCTTGGCTTTGAAAACCTTGAAAACTTAAAAAACTTGATCATTAGATGTCAATGGATATAACCAACACTTTCTAGAATAATCATCTAAAAAGTGACAAAATAAAAAAGCTCCACCAAGAGATTTAACATTAACATAGCCACAAACATCAGAATAAATCAATTCTAACGCTTTACTTTTTCTATGAGATTCATTTCTTTTAAAACCAACTCTATGTTGCTTACGCATAGCATAATGATCACAAAAATCAAGAAATAAATGCTTAGAAATAGGAATAAGGTTTTGAGTTTACATTACCTTCATATCATGCTCAATGAGATGACTCAAACGGTTATGCCAAATCTACATATCCTTATGCTTACTAACTGCAACAATGATCTTCTCTGTAGCATCATTCTTTTGAGCTGTGACATGAAGAGAGTAGAGACTCTCATCTTTTTTCTTTTTCAACATTGTTATACAACCTCTTGATATCTTCCATGACCCATTTTCAAAAGTCACTACGAAACCAAAGTCATCTAACTGCCCGGCTGAAATGAGATTTTTTTTCAACTTAGGAACATATCTCACATTTCTCAATGTGTGCTTCTTTCCATTTGATTATTTGATAACAACATTTCCAATGCCCAATATTCTGCAAGCTCGATCATCACCAAGATAAATCAAGCCACTATCCACATCTGTGTAGGATGAAAAATATGATCTTTCTAGGCAAACATGAAATGAAGCACCAGAGTCTAAAACTCAAGTATCTGCAATAGACAATGTTGTTCATGCAATACTAAAAGTCACTACATCTTTACTATCTGAAACTATAATTGCTTCGACATGGCTATCTTTGGCCTTGGCCTTTTGCTTATTCTTCAAAGCATAACAATTTTTCCTTGTGTGACCAGGTTTCTTGCAATACTAGCAAGTAACCTTCTTGCCTTATAACTTGAACCTGCCTCTGCCATGAAATTTACTCCTATTAAATCCATAGGGTTGGTCTCTATATTGTGTTCTTCCTCTATCTTCTGCTGCCAATGCTTAATTTGAGTCGGCAAGTGTTTGTGTGGATGCCTTTCTAGCCTCTTCATTTAACAATGAAGCTACAACATCTTTTAAATTAAACTTGTTACCTATTATATTAGTCACAGTGGTAACTAAGGTATCCCAATAAGCAGGCAAAGAACTCAGTAAAAGCAAACATAACACTTATTTATCTAAATTCATTTTCAAAGACCTTAATTATGCAAAAATTG